TGACCAGATTGGTGTGATCCAGTCTCCTTGCCCCACTGTAACTCCTGTAACCTAATGACTGAGCCCTGTGACTGGGCTGCCAGGAGTGTGCTGTGGGTGAGATGGTTATGTAGAAAGAATGGGTTTTGAGGCCTGTAGTCTTCTTGGCTTTTCCCAGCTGACTTTGAGGAGAGCATCTGGTTTTGAACACGCTTCTAGGACAGCAGGCTCCCTGCCTCCTAACTAACTCCACCCCACCACCACCAAAAAAAAAGGGGGTGGGGAATAAAGAAAATTCTGTTGAAACATTTTCCCTGGTTCTTGGGAGCTGGGCGGAGCTGTAAAACAGCTTGTGACCTTGTTCCCATGGTAGTTTGGTCCTTTGGCCTGGGAGTGTGCTGCCTTCATGCCTTGGGCCTGAGTCATTATCAGAAGTAATGGGAGAAGTTAATCATGAGACTCTTTCCACCAGTCAGACTGGAGTCAGTAAGGCTGGGTGGCAGGGAGCAGTGGACAGTGCAGTAGAGGCAGGGCCCTGTTCTTGAGGGAGGGCTTCAGTCCTGGTTCTGTAGGACGGCAGCTGTAGCAGGGAATCGAAGCACAGTGCATGGTGTAGGGCTGAGGTCGAGTGCCTTCAAAGCTCTGGGGCCCTGAGCTGGCCATGTGTGGGAATAGCACTTATAGTCTCTGCCCAGCCCAGTGATAGAAGTGAGGTTAGAGACATTGTTGGGAGAGTTGGGGGTGTTCGAGGTGAATGATCCCTTCAGGACTCAGAGACGTGTAGGAAAGGGATAATTGGAGCTATGGAGAGGAATCATAGCAGCCAGCTTGGGCTTCAGTCCCATGGGCAGTCTCAGAACTTCTCCAGCTCACGCCCAGAGGATTTGAGCATGGAAGATCATGTGGCTCTTGCGGTGCTTTCTCATTCTGCAAGGTGAGCTAAGAGCAGAGGACAGTCACATTACAGGTGTCTTCCCAACTTTTCCCTCCCTCACCTGGAGCTCCCCTACTCCTCTTCATTCCTCTTCAGGATGTCTGGCCAGCAGCCTGGCCCTTCATTTCAGGCTGACTGTTTGACTAGGGGTTTGATTAGTGTCAGAAATGGTAAGCCCCTGGACTGGGCCACCTCAGTGATGTTTTCTTTCTTCTTGCCACGATCCTCTTGTTTCTCCACCACCAGGTCACAGCTCCTAACTTCTCAGTGTCACAAGTGCCCAACACTCCTGGCTGTCCCCAAGCTTATTCTGAACTGCAGACGCTATCACCCAGTGAGCAGCAGTGTGTGGAGACTGTGGTCAACATGGGCTACTCATATGAGTGTGTCCTGAGAGCCATGAAGAAGAAAGGAGAGAATATTGAGCAGGTGAGCAGTTGGTCAGCCAGGAGAGAGGTTCCAGACCTCTGGTGCTCGATTAGTATTTTGCCTCTATCCTAAAGCCCCTCAGACTCACAACATCAACATCTGTTCCTGAGTCAGGGGGAAATCAGGGCACTTTGTTGGGGAAACCAGCAGCCTCAGCAGCTGTGCTTCTTCTTCGGGGTGCTCTGGGACATAGGCAGAGGAAAAGCCTTGGGAGTATTGGAGCTGTTGGACTCTTATCCAGCTACCCCCCTTCTCTGTTATAGCTGCCCAGGTAGTTCCAAATAGGTACTGGAGTCCTAAACCTTAGGGGCATTTTGACTTGGGCTATTTCTTAGAATATCCTGCCCAGGCTGTGGAGTTGATGTTCTGGGAGATATAAGTCAGCTGTGACAGGAACTCCTTTGAAAAATGCCTACTCACGTTTAGAAGGGTGTGCCTGTCTGTTCAGCAGATAGTCACTGAGGTCCTGCTGTATTAGATGCAGTTCAAGGCACAAAATCAAATCCTGTCCAGGATCTAATAACCAGGGTGGGGAGCACACATCACACTTGCTGGTTTGTGTAAGACTCTTGGGAAACAGGAGTGGCATTTAGGTGCTCAGACCTTTTGTTTCTTTTTTTTAGATTCTCGACTATCTTTTTGTACATGGACAGCTCTGTGAGAAGGGCTTCGACCCTCTTTTAGTGGAAGAGGCTCTGGAAATGCACCAGTGTTCAGAGGAAAAGGTAGGAACCTTCATGCTTCACGGGAACTCTCTGGAAAGGAGAGACAAAGTGGTCTGTTTTGGATTGCTTCCTGTCTCACAACTCCTTTTCCCCACCAGTGATGGCAGGCAGAGGCAGTTGAAATGTAGTCTCCCAGGTGTTCAGACAGGCGTTTGGCTAGTTTGCGTGTTTGGCTCTGATGAAGCAGTGGGTTGAAGACCACCTAGAATCCCAGGGAGGGAAGGGAAGGGAAAAATGACATGGGCAAAAAACCATATTTTCGAATGATTTGCAAGATTGCTAGTCACTTTGCTTAGCCTGCTCTCCAGAGAACAGCTGCCTCCGGGTTTAGTAGTCTGCACTGTTAGGAGTGTGGATGTGGGTGATGGGAGTGGAATGAAGGTCAGCAAGAGTTAGCACTGGGCGTGGCTTCTGAGATGATGGGCTGTGGCCTCAACCTGTCTGCTCTGGCTTTGTCCACAGCACTCCTCTGCTTTTTGGGGGACCTCAGAGAGGCTCATGGGGCTCTGGCCAAGGGTGCAAACTCCCTCAAACAACTCCCTATATTCATATTTCTCTACTCAGCTGTGCTGTGTGGCAAGATCTCTTTAATTTGTATTTTCTTCTGTTCTTTAGATGATGGAGTTTCTTCAGTTAATGAGCAAATTTAAGGAAATGGGCTTTGAACTGAAAGACATTAAGGAAGTCCTGCTATTACACAACAATGACCAGGACAATGCTTTGGAAGACCTCATGGCTCGGGCGGGGGCCAGCTGAGACCAGGCCCTGCCTAAGCCCTGCCACAGAACCACCCCTGCAAGAGGCCCTGAAGAGCTCACCCGTGGAGAAGGAAGAAGGGGCACACTTCCAGATTTTCTTTTGGGGGTGAAAGGTCAGGTGTAAAGACTGTGCTTGCCAGTCTCTCTGAGCCTAGGCCCTGTGCTGGGGAGAAAACTGAGATTTGGGCATGTGAATGTCCCCAGAACTGTCCTGGCTCCTTCCATATTAAATGTATTTATATTTTGAGAAGTGTCCTTCCCACCTTGGCCCTCCAGAGACTTCTCTGGTTTTTCTGGGGTCTGTATGTCCTCAGCTGAAACCTGGCCTGGCTGCCAAAAGTAGTCGGGGAGAAGGGGAGGGAGGGCCAGACTCAGTGCTGCTCTGGGGCTGGATGCTTCCCTCCTCTGCACTGGCAGAATGAACTCTAATCTAGGTTGAGTGCAATTGAAAGGTTCTTCCAGGGTTTTATTTTTCCTCCCTTTTGACAAAGTCTTAGTATTACACTGGCTCTGCAATGTCTCTGAGGTGCAAAGAATGCCCTTTTCTATGTGGGGCTGTGCATTTGCCTCTTATGCCAGGCAGTTACCATGCTTCCTTGCCCCAACCTGTTTCTTTTGGCTTGTTTTGGACCACTGTCCTCTGCTACTGGGATTTTAGAGCCCCTTGTTCTAGGAAACAGTTGTCAGATTAAGAAATCATTGGCCCCTTCCCAGCTGGGCCCCGAGTTGGGGAGAAACCGGCCGTGATTTAGTTGCCCAGCACTAACTCCACCTCAGTTCTTGGAGAACAACCTCTCCTTCCAGCCCCCTGCTCTAGGATGACACAATGAATAACACCTAGTCATAGAAATCAGTCTCTTTGGTTTGTTTTGTATTACGTTGTACATCATTAAAGATCTAAATACAAAGGATATACAGTCTTGATGAATCTAAAGTAATTTGCTAATAACTATTTTGATTCTTCAGAGAGAACTACTAATAAAAATCTAAAAGGTGTGTCTTGCTGTTATAATTTATTGCTAAGGGCTGTTTTACTGAGAGGTAGGGGTCAGTGAGTGGTAAAGGGATTTCTTGCTTAGATTTGCTGGGCATGAAATAGGACCTATTTTGTCATTTCAGTATTTTCTTCATTCAGGTGAAGGTCTGTTTAAACCTTACCTAGCCTGGTCTCTGGGCCAAGGATGCATGCCTTCCTGCAACACTGGCTATTGAGGTGAAACAGGCTGGGCCTTCAGGGGAATCACCCAGAAATGAGGAAGAAGCCCCTCTTCTTGGGAGTAGCACCAGGCATTTATGCCACAGGTAGGACTGGATTCACACTGCTTCACCAGCTTTCAGTGGTACTGCTATATCTGACAGAACCAGATTTAGCCATAAAGTTTCTTGTCCTTATAATTACTACTGTCCCATAGTCCCTCTTGTGCTGTTGGCTGGAGGTGTGTTTCTAATCCTTTTAGTGATCACTTGAGGAACTGCAGAGCCTTTAGGCCAGGAAGCACTAAGCTGGGAAGCGGCTGCCCTCTGGTGGTCAGATCAGACACGGCTAGTCTCAAAGCCAGTTAGCCCCTCTTCTGGCCTTTAAAATTAAGTCCTCATTTTAAAACCTTAAAAAGTTATCCTTTACCAGTAGGAAATTAATGTTCCACACCATAATGGGTGTCAGGGCCAAGGATGTGACACATGAATCTCGATTTAACCCAAGGTGGCCTTAGAAGATGATGGGCCACCTGGAAGCTACTATGTATTTCTTGTTTTAAGCTTCTTCCTGCTGCAAGGTAGCTAGCTAGCAGGACTCACATGAAGATGTGTATGCATGTGTGTGTAAAAATTCTGCTTTATGCAATGCCAAGATACTGAACACAGGCCCTTGAAAGGGGAAGTGGGCAGCCAGGGTGATTTTGCATGATGGTGAGGCTACGAGATGGACTTGCCTGAGATCCTCTAGCTCTTCATTCTGTGAGTGGGTGTGGTAGGTGAGGAGTCTCAAACAGGAGCCATTTTTTGGGCTACTGAGGCTTGTAACAGGCTGGTCATCCCAGCAAAAGGCAGAGATGCGAAAAGAGTAATGCACTGACGTAGGAACCCTCTTCTGTCTCAATACTGGTTTGCAAGAAGGAAGAGGAACTGGAAGCATAAAGCCCGTCCCACATCTGCTGTTATTAAAGACACATCAAGTCAAAGTTCCTTCGTTTTACATTTCAAAAGCCAACCTAAAGCCCCAAATCATGAGACAGAACTCATCTGCCCCTGCCCCACTAGCACCGATGTTTTAGTTTTTGGCCAAGTCCTGAAGAAAGGCATAGAATTCAGCTGATAAAGCTCCTGGGCGCAGCATTATCTTACCTAGTTTGTGATCTGTGACCTCTAAGTTACCAGTGACCACCTATCCTTTAATTCCAAAATTGAGAAACATCTACAAGGTTATTAGACCCAGGTGTGTTTCCATACAAGGGTCAGTAAGACAAATTCTCTTCTAGCTTCAGAGAAAAGGGAGGGGTACATTAAGATCTTCCTGTGCCTGGAACTGAGAGACAAGAGGCTTGGCCCTGAGAGAACAGCTGGGGCCCAGCCAAGCCCATGTGTAGCTATAGAGGCTAACGTGTGGGCAGAACCAGGAAGTGGGTTCTAGTATCTGTAGGGAGGACCCAGCAGAGGCCCCTCTAGCCCCTGAGACCCCTGCGACCCCATAGTGTGTAGATCTTGCTCTAAGACACCACTGTCCTCTCAGGAGCCTCAGACAGCCTGTGGCAGGCCAGGTATAGCTGCAGTTGGTTCCTCAGACTCTGGATGCACTTGGATTTCAGAACCATGATTTCATCCAACTGGGTCACAAAATCTTCAAAATCCTGAGATAGGAAACAAAGGACAAATGGAGCTGTTGCTGGCCCTCTTCTATATCTGTTTTTGTAGTCCCATCTCCTGCAGGAAGATTTCGGAGCCCAGGCCCCTCCAGCTGGAACACCTGCAGGATAGTCACTATGGCAGAGGGTGGGCCCCACCTCTCTACATTTGAGACACTTTATACATAGAGAAGTATCTTTCAGGGTAGAGGGGTGTTTTCGTAAATACCTCTGGTCTGCATGTGGCTCACTGTTACTGTCACAAGGAGGGGCCCCAAGAAGCCACTAGGAAGGCACAATGGTGAAGGATAGAGGCCGGAAACATTTTAGCCTAGGAATGGGGAGTGTGGTACCATCTCCCACCTGTCCTTGCACTCTCTCAAGCTATCCCAGAGGAATGGCAAGAGAAAGCGCAAGGCCTCAACAATGGGTGGAATATGACAGCAGACCCTCACCCGACACTAACCACAGCAAATAAAGCTGACCGTCAAACTAGCCGAAGGCTAATTCCCAACAGTCCCGAGTGTCCAGACAAGGGCACTTACATTAGGAGCCAGCTGGCTCATCAGGGTCTCCTCCTTGAAGCCCAGCTCAGCCATTTCATCCAGCTGTTCCTGGTGTGCGCGAATGACCACCTGCCTGGGAACACCAGAGAGCACACTGTGGGCCTCCAGGCCTTCCAACTCCTGGGCAGCTTTCTGGAGTTGAGTCCCATTTCAAGGCCAGGAGCTGCCTCTGCCCAAAGTGGTCAAGGCTTTGACCAGGATGGCTCACCCCACCTCTTCCTGTCACATGTTCTTCTCCAGACTTAAGAGACTAGGGAATACCAGTGAGATACTGGGAGAGACAGGGGCTTTTGGAGCTGACCCCTGCCTCCCCAGGTACACTAAGGGACAGGACTGGGTGCTGCTTCTACAGAGGAACTGCCCACAGCTCCCTGCAGAAAGGCTCAAGGCTGTGCCACTATAGCTGGCATCCTTGGCACAAAGTAGAGCCTACTGTCTAGGATGCTGTCATTTCTACTTCTTATGGGCGGTCTGGGACCAAAGCATGGGGGTTTGAGCTAGAAGCTGGAGTATCTGTCTTTTGTCATACCCTACTGATGGGTAGAGACCAGGGAGACAGCAAGATTACCTGGAAGAGGTGGGCTCCTCACCTGTACATCCCTGCATGCCCTTCTTTTTGTCCATGGCCCTGGCCTGAGCACCAGTGAGCAGCAGACAAAGACAGCTGGCCTAGGTATCAGGAGCCTTAGAAAAGGGCTGCAGCCTCATAAAGGAAGTATCTGCTCCCACAAGCTCACCCTGCTCTCTAGCTCCTAGGCTTCTGATGCTGAGAGGGGCCCTGCTAGATCTCACTGCTTCCTTTCTTTCACATCCCCTGAGGCTGCTGTCTCATCGCCGCTGCACTATACACAGCATCTTTTGGGAAAAGCAGCACAAACCACCATCCTCTGTTTTTTACCTTCCCCATATTGGAAGGTACCCAACCTGCTTTAGCTCTGGGGGTACAAGGTGGCAGCTGCTGGGTCCCTGGGCAGCACTTCCAGGAACACAGACCCAAGAGAATGAAGAAGAGGATTCTGACCTCGCCACAAGTCACAGGCTTGCTCTTACGGGGACAGATCCCCCCTTCTCACTCACATCTCAGCTTTCCCAGACTGAGGGTCCACCCACCCTGGCAGGCCTGCTCCAATACGTTTTATTTCTGCTATTTATGTCAGATGCATCTAGGCAGACTCCCTTGAAAAGTTTAACAAAGCCCTTCTCTAGTCACAGTACAACTGACACTGAGCCAACCACAGACATCCCCAGAACAGACAAAACATTAAGTTAAGCTGGGTTGGGAGTAGGAGCTCAAGTCTTGGGGAAAGCCCAACTTACTGTGCGTGCCCCAGGGTGGGCTGGAGTGTCCCGGCAGTCTTGGGAGAGCAGCTGGGGACCAGGGGAGAGCTGGGTCTTGTTAAGCACCTTTGTATCGGCCTGTGTTTGAGCCATTCGATGTCCTCATTGTAGTAGGGCAACCTGATGGGGTCTGTGGACAAACCCAGCTCCTGCCAACCAAGACCTGCCAGATGCTTTCTCTCCTGGGCCCAGGGCTGGTCAGCCACATCACTACTTTCTGTTCGCGGGGTGGGTGTAGGCCCACAGTGGGGTCCTCCAGTATGTATGGTGGGGAATGGCTTTCCCGGGAATCCCTGGGAGCTGCCCAGCTCTGTCTCCTCAGCATCGGCATCATACTGCTCACTAGCCTCATGTTCCTGGGAGAAAAGTGCAGTCTCCATGCTCTGGCAGGCCTCCCCCAAGTCAGCCTCCCTGTCAGGCAGCTCGTCAGATGGGTGCTGACGGATGGGTGATGGAGACAGAGCTGGAAGATCGGCACCAGGCTTATTGTCAGGGGGAGATGACGAGAGCCACAGGTGCCCAGTTGAAGACACTGGCAGGACTGCCTCTTGATCACCACATGACCCTGAGTGGTCCACAGCTGGCCCCTCTGTGCTTGCTGCCATCTGACTGTGTGCAGCCTCAGTCTGGGCTGGCTGTTCCAAGGGAGGAGAACCCTCATTATCTATGTTCTCAAGGAGGGACACAGTGAGGGGAGCCATCAGTCCAGAAGCATATTCAGAGCATGTGTCTAATTCTTCTCTAGAGTCTTCTTGAAAAGGGTCACTGTTTTTCACTGCTGTAGTAGCCACATTTGGGCTGTCTTCACTGATTTCTCTCAGAGGTGTGCTGACTGTCTCTCTTTGGTCAGGAACTGCAATGAGGGATAGCGAGAAAGTGAAACCATCTTCCTCTAGGGACTGCAAGCTCCCCTCAGCCTGCCTAGGAACCTCGCTCCCGAAGGCATCCTGTCTGAGATCAAAGGCAGAGCTGCTGCCTCTTTTCTGGTTATATACAAAGTCTACCTGTGAGCAGTAAGGCTTTTCTGCCAGGTTGTCTCTGGGAGAGGGCCCTGAGGAGGTAGAGTCCTCCTCTCTGCTCCAGTCCAAGGGCACCTTACTTGGGCTGTGGTTGTGATCAAGGGCTGCTCTTCTGTGGCTTGTGGGGTCCCTGGAGTACATCCAGCTTCCAGCTAGATCCTTCTCATCACCTTCTGTCCTGGGGCTAAAAAACAGACTCTGCTGCCTTTCGGCCACCTGCTCCTCAGGACCTTTTTCCCTCTGATGAAGGAAAAACGAGCCTTCGCTATTTTCCACAGTGTTTCTCTGCTTTGTGGTCCTCTGACTGGAGATATGTGAGAAAGAATCTTCACTGAAATCACTGTCATCAAGGTCCTCAGCTTGGGCTCCATCATGGCTCTCGGAATAAGAGCGTAAGGGAGGAGGGGTCTCATTCTGGAGCTGCCCTTCCTGGGGCCTGTACTGGCATAAAAGCCTTTCCAGTGGTTGGTACTTTAACTTCTGCTGGAGGAGAGGTGGCTGCTGGAACTGCTGGTGATAAAAGCGCAAATGTTCCTCCCTCTCCTTCTGATGTGGAGGGATGTTTGTCCAAGCTTCAGAGGCGGGCCTGGCAGGTGCCCCATTGCTGCCCTGACGGTACTCTGCCAAGGGGTGGATACTGCCAAAGGGGAGCTCTCCTCGTGACACAAGCTGCTTCTGCACTGGCTGCACAGTCTGCACTTTCTTATACTTAGAGGGCAGCTTACCATGTACCATGTCTTCTCCAGGGACAATTTTGTTGCTGATTTGATTTTTCTCAGAGCACAGTGGAGTTGACTCTTCTGCCTTTTTTTTGGCTAAATGTCCAGATCGCATGGTTCCTCTGACAGGGCTAGTCTGAATGACCCACTCTTGGGGAGGATTCCCTCTGGAGCCACACTTTGTGCCATGGACTTTAGGTACAGAAGTAAATGGGATGTTGGGTGGGTGGCTGGCCAGAGGATGGGCCTTCCCTCTTGTGGAGCCAGGTGCCACTGTGAGTGACTGCTGAAGCCCCAGCCTGACTTTTTTGGGAGAACACTTGTCCCCTGGCAGGGCCACAGGGGAGCTCTGAATTCGTTTCGGAGAAGAATTTCCAGATGTCCGATTTCGACTGGCAGCTGAAGTGCAACACTTAATGCTTTTCTTTAGTTCTTTTACCCTATAAATAACAATTTCATGTTAAGTGTATATTTTGCATGTTCTATAATTCCCTTTCTACAGCCTTTAGGGAAAACAAACACCAAAGAAAAGTATTACAGGGATTGAATACTGGGAGAGAATAAGAAGAAATGGGGAGATTCTATTTCAGCATGAGATACCTCTCTTTACCTGAACAAAAAAGACCAATGACTTCTCTGAGGATATAAGCATGCACCCAACATTCCATTAATCAGAAGAGTTTTGGAAATTACCACAGTCCCATGGGAGGGACAGGCCAGGGTAGCTAGTGTCAGGACTGCACTATGTCCAAGCAGAGCCTATGCCACGCTTCCTGAAGATGGGCCAACTCAGGAGCTTCATGTCTCCCACTTGCCCACTCACTATTCCACAAACAGAACCCTCAATTCATAACGTAGCCACTTTCTTCTAGCAGTGGTAATGTGCTGGCATTAGGAAACTATGCAATAAAAGAAACCTCCTTCAGAAAACTTACTTGGGGGACCTATTAATAGTATTATTGTTAAAGTTAACATATATTGAGTTCTATGTGCTGGGCATGGTGCTAAGCCTTTCATACATATTACCTCATTGGTTCCTGTTGTATGAGGTAGGTGCTATTTATATCCCCTTTAAGATAAGGAAACGGGCTCAGAGAGTTGAAAACTTGTCCAAGGCCACTCAGCTAGCTAGTGACAGAGGCAGGGTATTTGGCCAGATAGTCTGAATCCAGAGCCCACTCTTGTAACCACTTTGTAAACTATCTCTCCTATTTATATAAGATAAGGTGCCCAGAGGGCCTTACTCCAGCCCTGACACCCAGCAGGAGCTCCTCCTTTCATTTGCAAATATTTATTGTGCATCTACTAGGTACCACATACTGTCCAGGCAGTAGAGATATAGTGGAGAAAAAGAGATAAAGTTCCTAATCTCGTGGAACTTAAATGATAGCTCATCTTTCCTTCTTAATGAGTTTCATCAAATGCCATGGATACTGAAAATTCTTTAACAGTAATAAAAAAACAGATATCCTTCAAATAGTTTGTTAACCTTGGAGACAGCTTCTAGGAGACTCAAGAGGAGAGTGTAAGACAGGACCAGGTAGCAAAGTGGCCAGAGGAAAGGATGGTAATGACAGAATCTTCACCCACTGTAGGAGACACATGTGACCATGGGGTAAGAGGTACCAGCTGTAACACCAACTCCCAGTGAGCCCTTTTAACATTCTTGCCCTTCTCTGGGTCTGTTTATCCTTCTGTAACACATCTGGGGTTGGTCTCTTCTAAGTGCTTCTGCCTTGGCAAGTAATACGTATTCTATCCCTTACAATTTAGGGCTTAGGCAAATGGAAAGAAAACCTCACTGAGCCTTCCACTCCAGAGAAATATTTCATCTCCCATTAGCCATTTAAATGCCACCGATGGAGTTCTCTTGAACAAGGGAATGTGTTTCTCTTATCACATTCATACTTGTAAAGTGGCCTACCAGGTCGCATTTTTCAAATGACAACTGCATAAAACCCTGGTGGTAGGATCACTGCCTCAAGAACAGGCTTTTGGAGCCCTAGGTCAGATCCCTGTGTGTGTAGAAGACACACATACATGACCTGCCTCCTGAGAGGGACTCACCGGTCAGCATAGCGCAGGGTATTCAGAGTGTGTTCAGTGGCCACATGGCTTGGTGAGATGTTGGCGATCATGCAAGTTTTGGCATTGCCAATGAAAGAGTCTTTCAGGACCTGTCCAAAACAGAAGGTAGGACAACGAAGTCAACTAACAAAGGGCATACTGACTACTTACTGTATGCAAGACACTGGACCGAAAAGAAATTCTTTTGTCCCCCTGTCTACAAAAAGGCAATTCACACAAGAAGAAACAAAAATAATCAACACACAAAGGTACTCACTTCTCCACTAATCAAAGAAATGCAAACAACCATTAAAAAAACTAATATTTTTTTCACCCGAAGATTAAGAAACACTCATGACACCTGCCCGCTGATGGTCTAGGGAAATGGGTGCTCTCACACACTGCTAAGTTTTACCATGTACCATGAACTGGTAGAAGCTTTTGGGAGCGCAGTAAGCAATATGTATCAAATGTAAAAAATGTGCACACTATTGTTTGGCAATCATGCTTCAAGGACTTCATCCTAAAGAGAGAATTTCTTAATTGATCCAAATAAATAAACAAATGAAGTACAAACAGAATATTGGTCACAATAATAAAATTAGAAAAATCTACGAGTATATAAACAGAGAACAAACTAGATCAGTATAAACTGAATACAATACAACCATTAAAAATAATTATTCATATCTGTATTTAGGTACATGGAAGGACCTAAAACTGTCTTAGTGTGAAAAAGGCACATGATTCCATAACTTTTAAGTGGATCTATGTGTAGATATATGAGTAGAGAGATGCCTGGAAGGATGTTCACCAAAATGTAGCAGTGGTTGTCCCTGGGAGCAGAGATTTTCAGGTGCTTTTCACTATCTTCTTTGTACTTGTATCTACTGTTTGAATTATTATTTTAATTAATAGGAACACATTTTCTTGGGATGGGGAACTTGTTTTAAGAAATAGAGTAAATGTCAGAGTCAGGATTAATCACCTGTAAGAAAGGTCTCCTAGGTCCCTGGTTGAAATCATGTTTGAGAAGACATGATCTAATCCATAGATCAACAACTCTGCCTAGTAAGGAGCTGTATTATTATAGGTTCTGACTCAGGCCCTGTAGAGCCACTAGCTGGCAGCACAGCATGAAAACCTCTTCCAAAACACAAAGATCCCTGCCTAGTCGATCCTCTGTGCACAGGACTTGGTGAAGAAAGGAACCAGGGGCACCCATAACTGTCTTAGACCCCTCCATGGGCCACTCTTCTGCACCCATTACAGATGCTTACTGTTGTTTTGTTAATATGAAGCACATTTTCATGATAGAAAAACAGAAGAAAGATTACCTATAGTTCTATCACTCAGAATAATCAGTTAACAAATGCATACTTTTTCTGTGTAGTTTTTTTCTCACATCATATTTTTAAACTATAGATCTTGATCACACGTCAAAATCTACCCCATTCTTTTTATGCAGCTATTCTTTTTGTCTTAAAACACCGGTCTAAGTCTTACGGCTAAGAAAGTACCAAATACAGCTACTCCACACCCTCTTCAAAGGCTCAGAGGCTCCATTAAATCGACAAGGTTTTTTTATATCAGGAATAAGCGGAAAGCTGTTGAATGATAACCAGAAGAGTACTGCTGCCCCACGGGAGCCCAGCTGCCTCACACTACAGGTATCTCTGCCTGAGGATGCCCCTCTCTCCTCCTAGACTAAGAGCTCCTAGTGACTCCCCTTCACTCCCTTTTCCCCCGTGCTTAGCGTCACATCTTGATGGCAGTGGATGCTCTGCTGAAGGAACAAATAAATGGAAGAAGGAACAAATGAGTGAACCAGAATGAACTCAAAGCTCACATTTAACTTTACCTGAGTTAATTTGCTTTGCCGAAAGGGAGTATGGGTATGTTCCTGATCCAATGCTCGGATACATTCCTTCAGCTGAAAATAACAAGCACATCAAATATCACATGCAATGAGAGAATAACAGATCAGATTTTTCTTACATTCAAAGTCAGTCAGTCAGTCTTCCAAAAGGAAGTCAAAATGCCTTGATAGTTTCTTGTTCAACAAGAAAAATCAAGCTAGACTAGAAAACATTATCCTGTGCTATCTGTGCCTAGGTTAAGGGCCTCCCAACTTAAAAGCTGTGATCCTGATAGCATGGAGCAGACAAACCTAGGGACATTTCCACAGGTCCCAGAGTCTAAGCTTATGCAGTGGCAGTTCTGGCTCGCCAGCTCCCTCTCATCACACTCTTCCCAACTGCAGAAGCGCTTAAGTAAAGAAAATATCTATGCCACTCTTCCACCTCCCCACTTACATGTGCACACCTATAGGTGTAGACTCAAGAGTAGATTCAGACATAAGTTGTCTGAATGGGGAGAGAGAAATTCTAGAGTCAGAGCTGGGAAGGAACTTAGAAATCATCTAGGTCTACCTCCTCACTTAAAAAAAGCCAGAACTGTGGCCCAAAGGCAAGGTCATGTCACTTGCTCCTGGCCATAGCCCCTCAAAGAATTGCTCACAGGACATCACTAATGTCAGCATAGACCAGGGTATGCAGACTTCTAGGGGTAACAGGCACAGCAGGGGTCGGGGGAAAAATGAGGGAGGAGAGATCTTTTATTTCTGAGTCATGAATCTAGGCTAAAAGGCATTAAATGAAAAGGAGAGGAAAGAGCTTGGAAGGAATTCCTTGGAAGTGCCAGTGCTGGGAGTTCACCAAGAACAGGTAAGTAGCTTTGAGAATTTGCTGTGGCTGTTCCCGGCTGCAGTCAGGGATGCCTGCAGCTAATTCTCCTCTATCTAAGAAGCTGCAGAGTATAAGAAGGAATAAGGAAATTTCCTCTTTTATTACAAATCAATCCAATATTCCCTGGGATATGAGCACTGGGAAGATTCTCCAGAATGGATGAACAGGTAACCAAACCCTGGCCCCCTTAGTTACACCTGCTCCTTATATATTCAAATCCAAGTGTGGCCACCAATCCCTATGAACCTGGTCCCTTTAGCCCTGCTGAATCAGAATGGAAAGTAGACTTTACTAAACATTAGGAAGAACCAAGAGAAATGCCCAGGAAAGAAACAAGGGACATCTTTGTGTACCTCACAGAGAAATATCAGCATTATTTTGAAATATATATATACTGCAGTAGAGCAAATACATTATATTAATGTTTTAGGAACTAACAATTCTACTGTAAGAGAGAAGGAGAAAAATACAAATTCAAAAAAGTTAAGCAAAAACTCTTTAATCTTAATTTCGAATTAATTTATTAGTATGAATTCGTGATATATTTTTCTCCTTCTAAAAAACGAAATCTATTTTCTAGCCGTGTTCATCAGAAAGGGCTAGAAGCAAGGACTAACACAATGATAGTAAGCCCCCCTATCACCCCTAAACAGTCTCTAAATTCCACTTCCCTCTAAAACCAAGGCTTATTGAATAAATGGCTGATTCAAACCTGGGGAAGGAAATGTACAAGATGAGCCCAGAACTTCCAGTCATTACAGAGAGCCAGGAAGGAAGCTATCAGGGACTAGAAGACACAGGAACATATTTGAAAAGGTTCCAACTAGCCAAAGATGTACAATATAAGCAGCATGCTGAAATAATATTTTGAATATATCAGATTAACTAAAACATATAATTAAGAGTATATATTTAATATAATTAGTACATGTATTTTAATGTGGACATTAGAAATTTAAAATTACATATATGGTTTGCATTTGTGGCTCACATATTAGGAAATGCTGATTTAAAGGCTTAATCAGATTTAGGTTCTATTTTTTTTCTGGCAAGAATTCAGAGGTTATTCTTAGACATCCTATAGGAACATGTCAGGAGGTAGAGAGAATGGATGTCTCTTTTTGTGATTTTAAGAAGAAAGATTCAAGTGTTGTCAGCCTAATTCCTCCATTAAAACATTTCCCATCAGCCTTTTTCACCTAATGGTTTTAGCAGTCATTGATGAGCATCACTTATATTCATTGTTTCATTAGGGATTCCAAAATGGTGTAATTCTAATATTCCTTCTGTATTTATTAGCTGGAAAAGAACTTTCCCTCAAGTATCTGATGAACCTGAAATACAGTTCATACAGTGGAGGCAAGATAAATTCTTGATTCTTTGTCGTTACCAGTTTTCAGAATGAGTTGGTGTTCTGGTAACCTAAACGTGACCAATGAGTTTGTTGTGCTTTGTTTCTTTTGTATTATTATAATCTCATTATTCTACCGTCTCATCATTGGATCGTTCCCCCTTTTCAAAGAACGCAGGGAGACAAGGGAATAGTTGCCTAGAATTGCCGAGAATATGATTGGGCAGCTTCTATCTATAAGCCTGGAATTCATTGCCTGGAATTCATGCCCGTGCTCTGTTGATTCCACCCCACTCTCAGCCACTCGGGTGGGGCAAATTCTCTGAAGAAGAATTTTTAGATTAAAGCTTTCAAACAACTCACAGCCAGAAGACTCTGGTTTATTTCTGCTCCTTCCATCTTTGTCTGTCTGTCTGAGTCTCTGGCATCTGCTGCTCTTTCACTGCCAGCCAAGTCAATGAAAGAGATCCTAGAGAAAAGACACAGCAGGGATGACTTCTTTGGGGCTTTGGTTTCTTTTTACATCAGTCAGCATTTTGTGATGGCCGGAAGAAATTAACACTGGCTCATACTCAGGAAAAAAAAAGGCATTACTGTCAGCTTTCCAAAAGTATCGCAAGACACTGATCTATCCACTGCTGCTGGCACTGTTCACCCAGACACTTCCACTGGTTTTAATCATTTGTAAGAAAGTATAACAAATTAATAAAACATTCTTCCCATAAGGCTAAATGACCACAATGTAAATTGCTTAAGGGACCACTTAGATAATTAAATAGAAACTTCAGTGGGCTGCTTTCCAGCCCCCAAAAACACTAAAGAAAAAAGAAAGAAAAAAAGACTCATTACTCAGAGATGAGATAGGCTCATCCATCAGTGTGGCAGAGTTTGCTAAGATAGCACCAGAGAAGCAATGAATGTACCCAATTGTCTCATGGCTTCTTTCAAGAAGGATGGATTAATTTTCTTTTCTTTTTTTTTGGCCTGTAAGCTCTCTGAGATGCATTCTCTGCTATTCCTCTGCTGATACTGTGTTTCACATTAGAAGCAATCAATGTCCCTTTTAATAACTTAGGGTTGACCAACAATAGGTCATTACTTCATGGTTAATCAACTGATGGCACTTCAGTACAATGATTTATTTCAGGGCTAACAACTCTACTCTGTATCCTTGAAATAAAGAAATCCATGGTGGCAGGGTGTCCTGTTGTTGATAACATATTTCAAAGTCACATTAGGGAAAAGCAGACAATGCAATTCTCTGCATATTTCCAGCTCACCTGCCAAATGTCCTCTTGGCTGAATCTTTGATCTGAATTTGGATGATAGCATGGGAGCGGGAGGAGTCTGCATTAACTCCAGTGGCCCCGGTGCTGCGCTCCTTGCTGCCCTTCAGGATCACCTGAAAATAAAATCCATAGGGTGACTTCCCCAAGGAGTAAACAAAGCCCTCTGGCTCCTAAGAGTCGACTCAATGCAATAGAGAACAGACACGTAACTTTGTTAGTACACTGCAGCTTTTTCCCTTCATGTAGGAAGCTGCCTAAACACTAAATCATATAAAGTACCCAACAGCAATGAAAACAACGTGGAATACTAATCTTACGGGGGAACATTCACTAGCTCAAGAGCTAATTTACTTCTTGATTTCATACACTCTTTTTTAATATCTTTGATAGATTTAGTTTAACTAAAATCCCTAGGGTATAACTTGGCTCCAAAGCAAGGTCTCATAATACTCATCTATCTTAGTAACTGAAACAAAGGACGGAAATGTTCATCATGGAATGACTAATCACATCCACCTGCTGTTCCACCGGGATGCAGTCATAAAAGAGGCCAGGCCTGATGTGTCGGAACATGGAAGTGATAAGATATCGCAACTGCCATTAGCCCATGATTTCTTTTGAGACCAATGCCACTCCAAATGGGAGTAAAGACTAATCTGGGTCCCTCGGGCTACAAGAGAATTAGGGAGAGGAGGTAAAGCCTCAGGATTGGCCTCTAGCACTGAAAACAGCTATATATGACATGCTGTCCTGATGTTAGATAGAGGGAGGAATGTTGATTCCTGACAATCAAAAAGGTGAAGATCTTTAAAAATATTTGATAGAATCCTCACAATAGCCTGATGTGAGGGGAATATGATTATTATGCCTAGTTTATAGCTGAGGAATAAACTCAGAGGTTGATTTCCTCACAAACAGCTGTGGTATGGAAGAACCAAATTCCATATACAGTACATATGACTTCAAAGTCCGTGTGGTTTCTACTATACTGTGGGGCACTGATGATAAATACATTTATATTGTAGTGAATTAAGGGTAAGGAAGTCCTATTTCATTTTGTCTCAATCTCTCAGAATCTTAACTTATATCACATGGAACATAGTTACAGTTTTCTAAATTACTTTTTTTTTTTATTTTTTAGGCGAGTCAACCCTTGGTTGACCTCACAGATTGCAAGGATCTTGTCAGCTTACAATCCCTTACTTTTTTATTTTTTACACCTACAGCACCTGGTCTTCCTAGATGGTCTCCCATCCAAGTACTACCAGGCCTGACCCTGCTTAGCTTCTGAGATCAGATGGGATCGGGCTTATTCAGGGTAGCAGGACCATAGACTACAGTTTCCAAATAAGAGTCTGAAAGTTGACAGTAAAATTTCAACAACAGGCCACAAAATAACTTAACAAGAACGGGCTTGTGCTTTTTAAAAATTTAACTAAGTTCCTCCATGGTCTAAGCAATAGTTATGTTACTAAAGATTATCTGGATGTGAGATACAGAATTATATTTTAGAATCAAATTTAGAAACATATTCTAAATGTATTCATTTTGTAAACAGCTTGCTAAAAGTTTAAAGGGACTACCTGATGAATCCTTTTGTAAGAAGAACCTGTTAATTTATAAAACTGGTTTATCAACTGCATGGATAGCATGTTGCTGCTAATCAGAAATTAGAATTAGAGCAGTAATCCCTTACACTAGGTGTGTCAAGTGCCAAAAAAAGAAAAAAAAAAAAAGCACTGTTAAGCTTGGATGCTGGCTAGGTCACTTAAGGCCATATCTGTGACTAACTCATCCAGTTTAAATGCACTTCCTCATCCTAGCCTCTCCCTATGGTTCTGACTTTATGCTTACATAGGCTGTAATGCAATGATGATGGATCATCTTAGATTTGTATTGTTCTTTTAATCAAATCTTTCTTCTTTTTCATTAGAAAATCAAGACATGCTTACTGTGGAAAACTAGGAAAGTATAGGAAAAGCATAAAGAAGATATATACCTCCCATCATCCCAGAGTTAACAAGATTCTGGTGTATTTCCTCCTAGCGTTTTAGGGTTCTCACAGTTGTGCTTTATTTTGTCTTTTACAAACCCCATAAAGAGACAGGAGAAATCTTTTAAATCTCTACATTTGTGTAAGCAATACGCCTGACGGATAAGGGAGGAATCACAGAGAAGTGACTCATGCAAGGTCACAAAGGTAGAATATTGTCAGGCTAGGAACAGAAGCCAGGTTTCCCTGCCACATGTGAGTAATGATGCTACTTCTGCTGGGACCTAGTGAGAGCTCAGAGAGGCCTCAAGATTATACTTGGCCAAGAACTGTGGATATTGACAGGAAGCTGAAAGGATGGCCTTGTGGTGAAATTCACCCCCAGGGGAGTCAAGAAAGACTGCTTCTGGGGTTCTATTACAGAGTTTTGCACTGGGCTTTTCATTGTACCTGTTTACCATGATGTACTAGGTACCTGTGAGTGTGCCTTACAAAACAGTATGTTGAGGCAACCTTTCCTGACTAAATGTCTTTTAGGAAAGGTGTGAAGGAATTCCTGGTCCTTGGTTGTTTCCTCAGCTTCAGTAACAACCTGCAATCACCATTTCTTTCAGAAACTGTGGAATAAAGCGGGTTGAGCTCTGAGGAATAAAAAATGAGCAAGTTTGTGAAGACTGTCACACAAACTTTTGTAAATGACATATGAATGAAGTGCAGCAGTTTGCAATGTGTGAACACTTGCAAATTACTTAATTTTTTAGGGTCTCAGTTTCTTATCTATAAAATGGTAATCTCATAGGTTACTTATGAGGACTAAAAAAGATAATACATGTACCATGATTAGCATATGGTAAGTTTTCAGTAAATATTAATTTTTTAAAAAGATGCTAAAGAACTAACATCTCCATGTAAACTTCCAAAACAAATGATTTTTCACAAATGTAAAACAATCAGTTTCATAGGGAAATAGACCTTGATAAATCAACAGGAGATTCCATGGGCTCCCCAGTACAAGTAAGAAAAAAAAAAAGGAAAGAAAGGAGGGTAGGAGGAAGAGACTAAAGAGAAAAAAAGACTATCTGTTTGCAAGTCTTGGAGTAGACCAAAGTTAATACAATCACCTTAATAATCACTAGGCCTTCTTTTTCTTTTACTGCCTCTGTCTTAAATTCCTCCTTTGGTAGCTAAAGTCTGTTGGGCAAGTTTTTAAATCTAGGTCCTTTAGACTAAACAGGTTATGTGAGTAGTGAAATGGGAACCTGCCACAATAGAAAGTACAGACAATTGCTGAATTCTGTGGCACTGGGAAACACTGAGGGACTTACTAGTAACAGTAATGGATGTGACAAAATGAGCTAGCATCACAGTAAGCATTTTATGTACATTATCTCATTTTCTTCTCTATTACGTGACTTGATCATCTACTATCATTCATGTTGCAGGTTCAGAAAAGTAAAGGACTTTTCTCAAGGATACACAGCACTGGGTCCAAGCTCCACCTGGTTACAAGGCTTTAATCACTAAGTTTCCTGCACAAATAACAAAGAAGGGCTAAGAACACTTCAGTAGGAGAGGCACTGTGTACAGATTAAGTCTCTACACTGGCATATAACTGAGGGTTATCTAGGGGAAGCTCTTGCTATGCGGTCTCTACTACCAATACAGCCAAGGAAATGATAAAATATGAAGCAGATTTATTAGAAGTTTAGGAATATAAATATGTGAAATGGCTATAGGAATGACTTAAAAACCCACAAATCTCTACAACTGAAAAAAATGCTCATTAATTGCCTGACCGACAAAATCTTGATTCCAAACCTGGATGAGTCAGTGAGTCCTCTAAAAGGCAGGGAAATCCTGGTGCCTGCATTGGCAAGACCAGGTAATAAAATACACCTGGAAGGAGACTTCCTGGAGGATGGACAATCCCATGTGAAAAATAAAACTGTCAGTTGTGAGGCAGGCAACAAGTGTCTAAGTGAGCCTGAGGGTGATTTGTGAGGATAACACTTAAAGATGACACCTGAAGGTGACATTTAAGCAAACACATGGGTGACACCTGAGTAAGCATGAACGGTGACACCGGAGCGATAAAGTGTGACATCTGAGTTAGCAAGTGCTATTGTTTCGAGTCAATAAATGTTTATGAGGGTAACCGTGTCAGATATCCATAATTTATATCAACTTTCCACCTTGATCTCAGCTGGTTTCCTTCTGTACAACCTTGTCTGTACTACAGACTGAGGTATCAATGGTGATAATATGTTGACTAATAAGAAACTTCTTTCTTTTCCTAGGAAACATACTTTAGGATAGAGCAGTGCCACAAACTCTTCCAGGATAGGAGTGTGATTTGACACCAGATTGCTCATTAGCACAGTTATGACTTACAGCCAAAAAAAAGGGACTCCTTCTTAGTGTTTATTCCTTTCCCATTCATTTGGTCTAACATCCACAGACAAAGGCATCATAAGAACCAACTCTCTTGAAACTCCTGACCAAATGAAGGAATGGCCTGGGAAGGTGGGGGCAAGAGGAACATAGGGAATAGTTGTATGAGAATTTTCTTTAGGATTCTACAGTGGAGGTAGCTTTGGACAAGTAAGAATGGTCGCTGTCTCAGGGGAGCTCCTTCAATATGTTCCACACACTTTTGTTCTGTGCCTATCTTTGCAATCACTAGAAAGGTTCTTGGCCTTAAGGTGACTCTCTAAAACAGTCACATTCAGGTGGCATCTTCAAGTTTTGGATTCCAGGACTCAGGATCTAATAATCACACAAATATGAGGTCTGGTCCTTTAAACAAAATTTATCTGTTTGACCCAGGAAAAGGAAACTGTGAGAAAAGACATATATCAATGGTGAGCCACCCTGCCATTTCATGCACCAAAGTCCCTGGAGGGGCATACTGTGAAGCTATTCTAAAGGTGAGTATTGCCACTTCTTGACTTATGAATAATGCCGAATACCAGAGAAATACATATTAGCAGCCTTTGAAACTAGCCCAAGAGTATCCTCTCACGCACTAGGTTCTCCCACATGCCTCCCACTACCATAGCACTGAGACAACAACTTATAAAGAAGCTATTTTCTCAGAGGAGGACTCACATTTTATAAATGTGAAGTGGTATGCTTGTCATACCTAAATCTGAGTCCATTTTACTTGCTGATAGCAAAATAATTTTTTTTCTTGTATTTTGTCTGATATAGTGGCATAGTAAAGAGGGAAGAGTTACCTCTAAGAGGAGCTCCACACTATCCACCTGGAGCTCTCGCAGTCCCACTATCTGTACCACATGCTTGCTATCTTCTCTTGCGAAGAGCCTGCAGATTCAAGAACATGGTTGGTATGGCAGAGCTGCTGTAATATGTAATAGACTTTGTTCTTGCCTCCCCAGAAACCACTCCAACACTCTCCCACCATTAAATAGCATTTGCTGTTTGGGTAGAACTGATATGCATTCTCCCCACCCACTCCCACACCTCCTGACCCCAATCCCTGGCTTCAGGGATAGTCCTTGATTGTTGTAAACAAATCAGCATCTTTGGCTATAATTAAAAGAAAGAGCACATAAGAGGTGAAGGGAATCAAAAAAAAAAAAGAATGAGCATATATCCCAGATCTATGCCAATCAGTGGATGGTGTATTCTTGGCTACAGTGATTGGTTCAGAGGTGGATATGGGACTCTGCAGGTCCAATCAAAATAAAGTCCTAGTCTCTGGTTATTAGATACCTGAGGGTGAGGTGCTCTTTCTCTGTGGGAGAGAAAGCATGTGGCCTTGGGAGCAGTGGCAGCCATTCAGTATTCACAAGAGAAACAGTTCTGGAATGAAGCTAACACCATAGAAGGTAGAGCAAAGAGATGTAAAGAAACTGGGTTCTTATAACAGTCCTGAGCTGCTGGAGTAAAAAGACCCTAAGGCCTAATTGTCCTCTAGGCTTTCTAGTTATATAAGCCAATGACTTCCTTAAATGCCTTAAGCCAGTATAAGTGGGCTTTTATTTTACTTGCAACATAGAGAGTCCTGATATACCTTCTAAGAAAGCAAGGAAGAGCCTGGTGCTGCAATTGAATGCCTCAGGCCTGTATGTAAGGTAATGAGTGGTTATGGTCTATCATCATTAAACCATACCCATCAAGGGGCATGTACTGAATATATCAAAGACTATTATTTTTCTGCCTTAATAGGAAACTGATTAAGATTAAGGTGTGTACACACACACACACACACACACACACACACTTATATTTTTATCTACCTTTGTCAAAGCCCCACTATTATTAGAGAAAATATATTTTATTAATAAAACAACACGATAAATCATAACAACTCTAAACCAAGAAAGGATGCCATCAGTAGATCAAGACATTTTAGAAGTCCTGGAAAGGGAGGAAACAAACAGATATTAGCCAATTAAAAAAGATTAAAAAAAAACACCCACAGCACAAGACACTTGCGAGTAAGTCTGGGTCTTCACTAGAGAGTCTTAGAAAAGCTTCAAACCCAGGAGTTAGCATACTCTCATCCTGTGGCTATAATTAAAGGATGCAAAAATGTAAGGCAATATACCTGGGTCATTCATTAAAGAATTACACTCGCAAACAGCTGGATAATCTGACTGTCCCTTCACACAAACCACACACATAGCACAACAGTGGCTTTCATTCTCATGCCAATTATTTTTTAAAGGAAGTAGTCATTCTGACCGGAAAACATTCCTAATAAGAATGTTGGGGCTTGGAAGCAAAGTTGTGATTAATCTAACTTGACACTTCGAAAACAACAGAGAGGGTAGAAAAGAAGAGAAACTGCTAAAGCAACTTCAGAGTGGCACTCTCCTTTATTTGGCAGTTGTGGCACAACTGAACCCCCAAAATCTATACATTCTCTGAGTTGTGGCATATCCGAAGGTCCCTTTTTGTTGCAATAGTCCACAAGACAGTGGCCTGCCTAAGTCTACTCAGTGGCCTCTCCAGTTACGCTACTCAGTACTCTAGTGCCCCATTACAATGGGGGCTGGCCCTTCTATGCTCTCCCTACTGAAATGGAGCTGCTTCTCCACCTCTACCCCCCATTCCAGTGCTTGCCTGGAGCTTGCGGAACTTTTGGACAGCTCTACAGGGGCTTGAATCCTTTTGTTGTGGGCTCGTCTATTTCACTGATTTGGTTTTCCCTAGCCTTCTACCATGCTTGGCCTCAGCTCACTCTTCCCCACTTGGTGTGGCTGCTCTCAACACATCTCAGGTCTGGTTAATTCTGTCATGACAAGCTTTTATCCTTCCACCTCCCTTACTTCCGCTCTCCTCCCTATTCTCTCAGTCAGTTGATAACCTTCACAATTCCTTGCTTCCTACTCAGTTAAAGTCATGTGTTTCAACCTAAATAAAACTTTGCCAGAAAAATACAATACGGATTTAAAATCAGTTACTGAATACATTTCTAAATTACTATTTATGTTGCAAAGGCAAGAGTTTAAGTCCTATAAGAGTTAAAAGTTTAATGTAAATAAAAGGGATTTTCCTTTTCTTTTTGCTGATTTCAGAAATCTCTCCTTGAGGTTGAGAAAAAGAACAAGAGAAAGTGGGAAACATTATTTAAAGTTCTTCCAGTGTAATAATTGGTCAAAAGACTAGGATGAGATTTAAGTATACGTTGGTTTCCTAACTTCTTGAAATTATGACCTTTTTTACAGACCAAAATATCAGATATACAGGATATTGATCACTTAAAAAATACTAATAGAAGGCTGGTTTATATTTTTCTATAGCTGAAAATATATATCTGATTTAGGAGACTCTCATTTCACGCAAGGGCATTAACGTATTGAAGATTCATTAAATTCCATGATTCGGTGGGACTCTGGCTTAAAAAATGATGAACGGATTCAGTTTCCCGCTCATATTCAGTACCTTTTTCTTCTATTTAGGAGGTCATAAAGCTGTCCACAGTAGATTTCATAGAAGCTGATCCACACAAAGAGGTGCCTTCTTGGCTGGGATACTTCTAGTTGCCTGAAGATATCTTTGGCAGCCAGAGCATACAGTCCTGGGTTCTGATGAGTTCCTATCATGGTGTAGGTCTTTCCAGCACCTGTCTGTCCATATGCAAAGCAAGTAGCATTGCCTCTGAAGGAAGAATAATTTGTATCACTATACATGTTAAGATAAATGCTAATCTCTATATAGATTTTTAATGAAAAAAGTCAGGTAAAAGAAGAAACCTTGACAAAATTCAGCCATAAACACACAATCCTTTAGGGAGAAGTGGGCTTTACATTATAACAAACATAGGAAGAAGAAAAAACATTCTCAAAGCAGTATGAGTTCTCATAGTAATTTTTTATGAAACTGGTAAGACTGCGAGACAACACTGGAAAATGGTCACCAAACTTATTTTAGAAATTTACTCTCTCAAAAAGTATTCTCTAGATTTGGTGCATGGAAACAAAGACTCCTGCTAGGTGTTTTAGAGGATCCTAGAGATTTTATGTTAATCCTGAAAGATAAGTTTGGTTAAACAAGTAATAGAGAATTAAAAACAATAAATAACAGAAGATCATATGATAAACATGAAGGTAGTGACCACTCATATGAATATTAAGGAACTTTAGACAGAGGTGAAATCAATGTAAGCAGAATATTTGAGGAAGGACTCATAAAAGAGCTTCTCTAAGAGCCCCAGATTTTACTTTCATCAATACATTACTGGGTTGCTTGATTTCTAAGACCCCTTCTAGCCTTGCTGTCCTATGATTCTAAGTGAGAGTCACTATTCTTGGATGTGGATAAATGTTTGCACACGCCCTGTATGAGTGGAAAACTGTAGAATAAGAAGTGGAGAAGAGAGTTGGCGGACCAACCTACAGAGATCACAGTATATTTTAAGAGGAGTTGGAGGCCAAGATTACCTGAGTATTATGGGGCCCAACTATGTAGTACTAAGTAGAAAGTGAATATGTTAGGTAGTAAATAGTTATTATGGGAATCACATGAATTAATAAAAGTAGCTACTTGTAGAAAGAAAAAAAAGTATGTATGGACACAGGAACAGGGGGAAGCTAGAGGTAGGCAGAGAGATGCATACGTAGAAAGGGATGTGAAGCCAGATAGAAAACAAAGAAAGAGTGATGTGTCCAGAGCAAAGGAAGCATGGAAGTGTGAGAATCTAGAGATAGGAGCTAATCAGATTTAAGATACCGGAAGCAGAGACAGGTTACTTGTCTTTTAAACCATGGCTCCCAACAGTATGAATACTTGAAGACAGTGGCAGAGGCACAGTTAAGAAAAGAATTATAGAAGGAAATTTGAATACACTGAAGAAGATCTAGTAGAATGAGAGCAAAGAATGTAATCTAGCTTATCTTTTGAGCATTTCAGTGATGAGCTTTAAAAAAACCACAAATATAGGCATGAAGAATCTCTATTACACTTTACAGAATTTACAGTTAAGTTACACTTAACTTGCAACTCCCTTATTTTTTACTGGTAATGTCTTATTTGATTTCTAACTTATTTTAGAAACCTTCTCTCTCAAAAAGCATTCCCTAGATTTTGTGCATAAGAAACAACCTGAAAAATATATAACTTTTTTAGCCTGCTCATTTAAATAATTGTAAAAAATTTAAATAATTTTTTCAAAATAACAAAAACACAACACAAAAAAAAATAGGCAAATGAAGATATCTGAATGGTAAATAAGCACATAAAAAGATGTTCAGTATCATTAGGCATTAGGGAAATTCAAATTAAAAATACAATAAGATATAATTTCATATCCATTGGATTGGCTACAATAAAAAAGGCTGACAATGCCAAATATGGTAAGAATGCAGAACTGCAATTCTCATATATTGCTGTTAGGAGTATAAAATAGTGAATGGATCAGTCAGACAGGCCCAGAGATGCTTCTGGAAGTAACATCCTGATGACTGCCCAAGGAGAACCCCAAGTTGTTTAAACTTGTATTGGTTGGTGACGATGGAAATGGAAAAACTACATTTGTGAAACGTCATCTGACTGGTGAATTTGAGAAGTATGTAAGCTATCTTGGGTGTTGAGGTCCATCCCTTTGTGTTTCATACCAACAGAGGATCTGTTAGGTTCACTGAATGGGATACGGCTGGTCAGAAGAAATTCAGTGGACTGAGAGATGGCTATTACATCCAAACCCAGTGTGCCATTGTAATGTTTGATGTAACTTTAAGAGTTACTTACAAGAATGTGCCAAACTGGCACAGAGATCTGGTGAGTACGTGAAAACATCCTCATCGTGTTGTGTGGCAATAAAGTGGATATTAAGGACAGGAAAGTTAAGGCAAAATCAATTGTCTTCTACCATAAGAAAACCTTCAGTGCTATGACATTTCTGCCAAAAGTAACTACAACTTTGAAAAGCCCTTCCTCTAGCTTGCTAGAAAACTAACTGGATGGAGACACTAATTTGGAGTTTGTTGCTGTGCCTGCTCTTGCCTCACCAGAGGTTGTCATGGACGTATCTTTGGCAGCACAATATGAGCATGATCCAGTGGTTGCTCAGACAACTGCTCTCCCTGTGGATGATGGTGATGAGGATGATGACCTGTGAGAAAGTGAAGCTGGAGCCTACCTTCAGAAGTCTAGTTTTATTGGCAATTATCCTGTTATCAGTGGTGCAGCATGTTTGCCACTTTATTATATAGCTAAGGAGAACATGTGCTTAATCTTTTGGATGGTGAAGGAGATGAATGGGCTTTGGAGTGAACATGGCAGTTAAAAAAATACCTTCATTTTTTGGACGTACATATTTAGCTGTTTTGGAATGTGGTTGTTTCTTTGAGTTTCAAATATAAGACTGCTGCAGTCACATCACAATATTCAGTGGTGAAACTTTGTTTGTTATTGTCATTCCCACCCCCTTTTGTTTAGAATCAGAATAAAGTTGTATTTCAACTATCAAAAAAATAGTGCATGAAAAACTATTCGACACTTTCTTATAAACATACACCTATCCTATGGCCCAGTAATTCCATTTCTAGGTTTTTATCAAAGACAAATGAAAATGTTCACAAGACTTGTACAGAATGTTTATACAGCTTTATTCCTAATAGTCTAAAACTGGAGACAACCCACATGTCAATCAACAGGAGAATGGATAAACAAATTGTGTTCATAGAGGGGAATATTACCCAGCAATAAAAACTATGGATACATATAACAACATGTATTAATATCAAAAAACATCATGCTAAGCAAAAGAAGTCAGGCATAAAAGAAAACATATTGTAATGATTTTATTTCTGACATTCTAGAACAAGCAAAACTAATCTATAGTGATAGAAAGGTCAAGTCTTATTTAAGACCTGGGAGTGATGGTGAAGAATTAACTAAAAAGAGACACTAGAAACCTTTCTGGGCGGTAGACACATCCTTATTCCAGGTATTGGGTACTTGGATGTGCACAACTATCAAAATTCATCAAACGTGAATACTTCTTAAGATCTGTGCATCTTACTGCATGTAATTTACACCTCAATTTTAAAAAAGTTATTAAAAAAAATAAACGTCAAAATACTCTGGAATCAGCAACTATAGCTGGTTGTTTGGAATTTTCAACCTGCACATACCTAAGGTTTAAATGTATAATAGAAGCTCCTGTCCCATTTAATGTTTATTAAGTATGAATAATTACTTCAAAATTTAAAAAATACATCTATGAAAAATAGATAAGTAATAGTCACTTATCTATCTTATTCCAATGAAAATGTTAACAGAACTATTATTAAAAGTTCAAACTAACTACAACCACTTCAATCTTTTTATTCTGAGGACTTTCATGAAATTATATTGCTGTCAGCTTGTATTTTTCCACTAAGTAGAGAATCAATATCATCAATATAAGAGAAATTTTGCTGAAATTTTCTAAATGCTTGGTAAATTCTATAGAGAAACTGAATTGTTCAGAAGAGACTAATTTAAATTCATTAGAACAAAACACAAATTCATGTTTAACTCAAAAGGAATGAAAAGGATAAGTGATATTTATTTTTTTAAATATAATTTATAGAAAATAAAAAGAGAAGAAAATAATTACTATCATACCCATTGAAAATATGCTGAATGAGTGGGTGAGTAGTCTTCATGTATACATCCCGATTGGTGCATGCCTCACCAAAGACTTCATCAAAATAAAAAACATGCTGAAAAAGAAATTTGATATTTATAGAAAAAGGAATTCTTCAACCATATTCTAGATAACACATGATAAAGGTGCAAATACATTTTTAACTAATAGTAATTGACCATGATGAACTTAGAAATAAGCAATCAATAACTATCAAATGACAGAGTCTTATTTTACTTGAGATCTCTGTAGACATTCTTATAATGTAAAACCGAAGGCACACAATTTTTGTTCTCTCTTAAGTAAACTGATGAGTACAAGAGTGAGCCAATCCTCCTTAAGTCCAGGAGAGGAACTGAAATCTATGAAGATTATCATCATAGACTAGCAATGGCTAAGATACTTGAAATTTTGAGGGGATTCTAGATGAAGACTTCCATTCCATATGTTACACAGCTTGACTTTTAATTCCATAAACATCTATTGTTTAACTGGTACTACGTATATTGCAGTAGGCAGTTCAAGGAGCCCAAAAATACTGATATTATCCTACCATTACCCCACCCCAGCCCCTAAAGATGTTAATCCAGACAAGTATACAAATGACTATAAGACAGAAAAAACTTGAGAGATAAAGTACATGTGAAATTAAAAGGAGAAACATATTCCCTCTTATTGGGAGAGACTATGAGAATGGGAGAAGAAGAGGAATTTGAGAAGCGGAGATGGAGGCAGGGAAGGTATTCCAAGCACAGGGGACACATGAGCAAACAGCCAAGCAGGAAAACACAAAGACTGTTTGAGGAACATGGAAGATTTAATGTGGTTGAAATATAGGATCTTGGTAGGTAGAAAAGTGAAATAGAAGGCTACAATAATGAGTTTGTAGGGGTCTTAGGACACCAATCTTAAGAGAGAAGGTGGAATGCTCATATTTAATTCGGTAAACTGTGAAAAGATAATTAAAAAAAAAAAACTGAAAAGGAGAGGGATAGCTGAGTCATTTTATTAGAAGTTAAATCTGGCTTCACACTGTGAATGGATTGGGAACAGGGACACTAGTAATTCAGTGATGACGTAAAAAAGGTCTAAATTAGATGATGATAATAGAAATAAAGAGGAGACGGACCCATGAGAAGTTTGGCAACTGCCTGAATGTGGGGAGCTGGGGAGAGAAAGCTGACTCCCAATTAAAAAACCATGGCCATCTGGAAAAGGACAGGAGACTCCATTAAATTGGGTCTGGTAAGCATTAGTTCAGCAGCCATGATGATTTGCATAATTTAGAAGCTTACCATGTTGGCAGTTCAACTACATCTGTGTAAAAAATCCTAATAATTCCAAGCCTGACTGCAGCATCATAATGGCAGTCTGTCTATACGCAATGAACAAGAGAAGAGGCCCTGTCTTCTGTTACCTTTTAGGCCTACTCCAAATATTCAGTTAAGGACAAACTGTATGGACAAATGCAGAAAGATGAATTGAGGCCAATTTACTGTGGGTCATTCTACCCCAGGTTTGATTCTGTTTCGGGTACTATTACATTACACTAGAAAGGAAATTTGTTAGGTCATCTGAGAAGAAATTGGGGCCACAAAGTTGAATTTATCGGTTAGAAAAAATCTTCAAAAGTTAGGTGAGAAAATAATGAATCTCTGTAGCATGATAAAGAGATCTGTAAACTTTTAGTGCTTTGAAAAATGTGATATGATTCCAAAAATAATAAAATGTTTATAATTGTTGAAGCTGGGTGATAGCTCTATGGGGGTTCATTATACTTTTGATTAAGCTTGAAAATGGTAATAACGAAGAATAAAATATATTTCTAAAATCTGACTTTAATGAACATGATTTATAGCTAAATCATAACTGGTCTTTAATCAAGACAAATCTGTTTATTGATCAAACATTACCATAGGTTTTTATAGTTAAGTATGAAATCAAAAGCAAAATATATTGTGTGTGGAGGGGGTGCATTTCTCAGGAAAATAAGAAAAAATGAACAGAAGTAAATGTGGGAATACATTTTTTGGTCTTCTTTTATTTCATTGAGTATATGGCTAGTCCTCCCTTTTATAAATATTAGTGGATACTTTAACTCTTCAGTAAGCACCTTAGAAAGCACTTACTGATTAAAGATTAGTATCTTTCCTTCCGATACAATTTAGGTATCAATTTTTCCAGTACTTTTGTACGTAACTTACAAAGAAATGTGAACATGCAAGATTATTATAATTCATAAAGTCTTTTATATCACATATACTTTCATTTGATTAGACTTTATCAATGAAGTTGGATTAACACTCACTTTCGCCTTGATATGATCAGTTACATAATTTTTTAAATATTTTTTTTCAGATTATGAAAGTAATATATATTTATATAATATGTCTGGAAAGCTACACTTTCTAACAGGTAATACAAGGAGAAAATGGGATTAGAGAGACAATTTTCACTGAATACACTTTTGTACCTTTTGATTTTGAAATAGGTGAATCTATCCTATTCAAAAGTTTTTTGGCTACCATCAATAAATTGACAAACAGCAAGTGTTGGCAAGGATGTGGAGAAAAGGGAACCCTCACGCACTGTTAGTGGGGTAACAAATTGGTGCAGCCACTATGAAAAACAGTATGGTGGTTCCTCAAAAAATTAAAACATCGAACTACCTTATGACCCAGCAATTCCACTTCTGGGTAGTAATCCAAAGAAATCCAAAACACTAATTCAAAAAAATATATGCATCCTTATGTTTAGAGCAATATTATTTACAAAAGCCACGATACGAAAGCAACCTATGTGTGTCCATCAATAGACGACTGGATAAAGATGTGGTATGTATATACAAGGAATATTACTTAGCCATAAAAAGAATTGAATTTTACCATTTGCATAGATGGACTCAGAGGGTATTATGCTAAGTGAAATAAGTCAGAAAAAGACAAATCCCATATGATTTCACTTACACATGGAATCCAAAAAACAGAATAAACAAACAAAACAAAAACAGACTCATAGAAATAGAGAACAAACTGACGGTTACCTGATGGAAGCGGGGTTGGACAAGGATTAAGAAATACAAATTGGCAGTTACAAAACAGTCATGTGGAATACAGTCAATAATATTGTAATAACTATGTATGGTGCCAAGTGGGTACTAGACTTATCAGGGGGACCACTTTGAAAGTTATACAAATGTCTAACTACTATGTTGTACACCTGAAACTAATATAATACTGAATGTCAATTATAATTTTAAACATATTCAAATAAATGTTTTACTTTTTTATATAAAAACAACAAAGCTGATTGCAGAACATTTCAAAAATATGAAAAATGATAGAGGAAAAAACTAAATTATCTATAAATATTACTATTCGGAGATAGCCACTGTTGACTTTTGATATATTCCAGTACTTTTTTTTCTAATATTTTTTCTTTACTGAAGAAATTGAAATGAAACATATGTTTGTTTTCTTGTTTTTTTCCTTATTAAGTTGATATAAAATTTAATAGTAAGTAGGATGGCACACTATATGTATATGGTCATATATACCAAGTAACAAAAGATTTGAAAGGCTAGAATATTCAATTAAACGAACACATAAACATATTGTTTGAATTCCTAAATAAGTTTGATAAATAAAACCCGAAGAATCTAGGATCATTATTTATTTGCTATAAACCTCCCTTTTCTTCTATTTAAGTAAGGAAAAAGGAGCAAAAAAACCCCTCCCAATACTTTTTTATTATAGCATTGATAGGTAAGGACTTTGACCTATGAGAGCAAAGGTCCAAAGTTCAAACAGCAGAGAAAGTGCTATGGAAACTATGGGTATTCAATAAGTATTGACCAATGGTAATAACAAAGAAGTAAGGTTATTGTGTTTTGGGATAATGGAAAAATACAAAAGATAAGATGATGTCTCCTTGAGGGAATTACTGTGACAAAAGTATCATTAATGCAGTCTTGGGTAGATGGTGATTGGATAGGGCTATTACTATGGCTGTAAGTTGCCATGGAACACATATAATTACAACTAATTGTTCATTTGGACCATCTTCAAAATAAATACCTCCTACCTAGACCTAATAGATTGTGCATTGATCAGCAATCGATAAGGCTGTTAAAGTGACTGGGTTGGTTATACAGTGGCCTAGTAATTTAGTGCCCATAGAAAGACTGTGGATTATTTTGAGTGTTACTGTGAAACCCAGTTTTGGTTAGCAAAGAAAAAGAACAATGCAAGTGTAAAAGGGGGGAAAGTTAACAATTTGACTTCAGTGCTAAAGGATTTATTCCAGTAGAGTAAGATCTTAGCTGGCTAAGGTGAACTGCTAGCAAACCAGATTACTCACCACTTTTTTTTCTACCAGTCACTGGGTTTTGAGGCGAGAGAGCGAGAGAGAGAACAAAATGAATGTAATGTGAAAATTATAGGGAGGCAGATTCAGAGTAAGAAACTTTTAATTCCCAAATTTTAACATCTGGTGGGTTATCCCCTATTTTAGATTATTCACAATTGCTTCACAATTTTAGGAGTATCTAAGTTACAATATCTTCCACCTATGGGGTTTGCTGCTTCCATACGAGACTGAAGAGTTACTGCTAGGGTACTTATCAACTTAGAGTAAGTTCCTTTCAATACCAAACCCTTTCTCCTTGGACTCTCTATGATCATTCTGGCAAAGAGTGAACAATTTTTATGTGTTGGAACTACTAGTGTTCTCTGTGACCATCCCAGTCACTTTAGGGCATATGCTCGATGACTGATTCTATCACCAATTCATTATTTAAATTCTTTTTATCCCCTCATTAGCCCTTTTTTGCTGAATATGTATAAATTCATGTAAAGTATGTAAAGTAAATGTATGATGCAACTCTATTGTACTAGAGTAGAGGAATTATGTTTTTGGTCTCCCCCATTGCACTATATTTTTTAAACGTCTAGGATAGCAATGATTTAATGCAATGTCACATCAGGGATGCATGCCAACAAATTAGAAAATGAATTTTAGAATTTGTACGCAGCCACTCAAACAAAAAGCAAAAATTTGACACGTGATAATATTAGTTCCAAACACAAAAGGAAAGCATCATACCTGCAGAATATATTGTGTGAGGTCAACTGCTTCTTTCTTCTCATGAACAAGTAGAGTTTCTTTGTCTTCTACAGTAATAATATTAATTTCTCCACGACGTATCTCCTTCATGCCCAGCGGGCGTTTTCTAACGCAAACTCTGATTTTCTCCATCTCAGTCCAAGAATTCTCTTTCTCTGAGGTATTCTGTCTGATATATGTTAATAAGTGGGCTTTAATTTTTACTAATAGGATAAGGCTACTTAAGAGATCAAAGTATCAGTACATTTTATCATACATGGTGATATACATATATATATATATACACATATATACATATATATATATAGTTACATAAGTTTTGACATTGGGAAAGTTCTTATTAGCTAAATCTTCCTGATTATTTCTATCTCCATCCCTATGCCATCCCATCCTTTGTCCAGACCAAAAAACAAGAACAAAAAACATTCCCAAATCCTAAAAGTTGCTTTAGCTCCAAGACGTGTGTTTGGCTTCCAGATGTAGTCTTCCAAAAGGCTTCTAATGATGGATGAGGATACTCTTTCTTTATGTCCCCAAAACTCAGGCTAGTCAATCCTCAAAATCTAATGCAATATGCTACCATCCCTCCAAGGCCTTTACAAGACCCAAACCCATATCTCTTGTTTCCTTTCAATCCAATTATCCTTGTACATTTACTGTCTTCTTGATCATTCAATCTAATTTTTTTAAATCCTGAGTTTACTAAATACCTTAAATTAGGTGGTAGGTTTCAATGTACTTTTCCCCATTTCTCTCAGGTATATTCTTCCTTTGCCTTGTTCTTGTACTTCCTCTTTTTGCCCACCCTGATATGTATTTGTTAGAATACAATCCTATATTTCTTCTTCCTGGGACAATATTATGACTGGCTCTGCCTACCAAATTCACTCTTCTATTCAGATGCATTTCTTCTCTGGCTCTAACTTCAGTGAACTCATCAATCTTAATATCCAGAATATTTGAGGCAAATATTCTTTGGGTTAGGGATACAAAATTCATCAAGTTTACTTGCTGAGCTTATGGTGGTATGCATATGTACATCATATATATAGGAACTGACCATATACCTATATAGAAATTCCTCTCAAGCTAGGTAACAAGAAAGTAGGATTCTTGAAAGTAGGAGTTTTATAAGGATCAATGGCCTTTGGTCTATATACTAAGAATGTCTTAGCAAGACAAATTATTCCTTTCCTTTATACTTTAGAATTTGATTAATAGCCCTTAAAAAGTCTTTTATAATAAATTTTGCACAGGATATTTCACTATATAATTGCTTCATTATCAATTTCAATTTTCTGAGCCCTCAACTGGCTAGAAAGTTATTTTTGCCAGGATCTAAATTAGTAAAAATAGCAAATGAAATTTCTAATATAATGTATAAAGGACTACTCAAGGCTTTTAAGGCATATTTCGTTTTCTTAACCACCATATAGCAAACTTTTAAAAACATACCATTTTGAGGTTAAGTGTGGCAAAATCTTGACAATCATTAAAAGCAGATGATGAACATGGGGGTTCATTGTTTTATTTTCTCTTCTTTTGCATGTTCGATTTTTTACAAGAAAAAGCAAAATTTAAATGCATCATTTTAACAAAGGCTTTGTATTAAAATCTCTAGTAGTTGGTGTTAATAATCTAATTGTATAAAGCTAATCAAAGAGGACAGAAAATGTCCTTTTTAAAACTGACCAGGGACTTTAGGATGGGTCACACAGACAAAAGGACTGTAGTTTTCAAATTCAAGGGACAAAAAGGAATGAATATTCTTTTAAAAGGCATTAAAAAGGTTTTAATGCCCAATCTTCCCTGTCTGACATGCAAAGAGATAAGACAGCTGGGGTTAGGTCTACTCAAGTCTTAAATAAGTCAGGGCAACCAGTTCGCTAAATGCCTCAGACTTATTAAAATTCCAAGGTCAGCAATTTATTCTGAACTTATCTGAGTTGAGGCATCCAAAGAGAACACTCTCTGAATAGAAGACTCCCTAACAGCAAGCCTTAAGTTCTGAAATCCTGACTCCCACTTAAGGTATGGTGAGAAAACAATATTGAGGATTACTGGGGAAGATGTACCTTCTTAAGTCTATTTCTTTTATATAGGCAGTCCCCGACTTACAATGGTTCAACTTAATGATTTTGTGACTTTACAATAGTGCAAAAGAGGTACATATTGATTAGAAAAAGCACTTCAAATTTTGATCTTTCCTTATGCTAGTGATATGTGGTAAGATACTCTCTCATGATGCTGGACAGTGGCAGCAAGCTGCAGCTCCCAGTCAGGCAAGTGATCAAGAGGGTGAACAACCAATGGTCTATTTATTGCCAGTGTTTTTTGGATATTGTGTTCTGAGCATGCTTAAGGTTGGCTGCGCTAAGCTATGATGTTTGGTATATTAGGTATATTAAGTGCATTTTCAACTTCCGATATTTCAACTTACGATGGGTGGGATGTAATCCCATCATAAGTTGAGGGGCATATGTATAATAAAAAATGGGAAGACTAAGATAATAATGATATAAAAGTTGAAAAAGCCCTGGGTTTGTCATGTATCAACTTCTAAAACAGCACTTAACTCACCAAATGATAGTCTGTCTTCCCACTCACCCCATCCTCATAGAGACTAAGCGTCTCCAGATATCCTAATTATCTTTATATCTAGAATCGAGCCTAACAGAGGTGGTACTTAATATTTGCCAAATAAATAAAATAACAATATTTAAACTAAAATATACATTCTATTCAAATATATAATGCAAATTGGTATATTCATTCTATTTATAAATAATTCCTATTTAGATTTTTATGTGTTGTTCAAGGAAAGACTATAATATTCAAGAAAATATTTGTTTTTTCACCACTGAGCTAACCAACAGGAAAACGGCAATCCTGGTTTTGATGGTCATGGGACAATCTAGTTCTCTCACAATTAAAAGAAAACAGTATTAAATGCTGTGTTCTGCTAAACCGAACACCCCCTACCCCCGCAAAAAACTTTCAGAAACACTTTAAAATTACTTTAAGTATTTCAAATTACTAAAGGTACTTTTATCTTTAAAACTAGGCCTTCTTTTTTGGGAATAAAACAACTGATTGGTTATGAGATCCTCTGAAACCTTAGCCAATATAAGACCATATATAAATACCTTGTTTCTTTATAACTCGCCATCTAAAACTTTTAAAGTAACAAAACAAGCAATACATGTTATTAAAAAAATTTTTTTATCTATTACACCAATGTTAGTATTAGGTTATTACTCGATATTTCACCTTTTAGGGACTTTATTTCAAATTCTAACTTGAAACTCTACGTGAAAAGAACTTATTGTCATCCTGATTCTCAAACCCTAAACTCTATCAGAAGTGTCATATTCTTTGCAATCATCAAAATCATCTATCCTTCTTGGGATGGAACTGTAGAAGGTATTCAAAATCAGGACAATATTTCAACGTGTGCAGGTAAACTAACTGCTCCAAAGACATACTTCAACTATATGCTCTGTTTTTAACTAAACTTTGTCTCCTGGTTGGTTTAAGGGAATTTGATAGCATTAAAAAAAAATCCTGTGGAATGCATTTTTTTTTACCCACTGTAGAAGCCTAGTTAACTATTTTACCTTCATGGATGCACTGGTTGTATCAATGTTACACTATAATAAATAATAGAAACAGGACTGCTTTAGAAATAATAGCAGATCTTGGCAAGTAGTAGCTGTTTGATGTACCTGAATAACATCTCTCTCACCTGAAAAGTCCCAGTTCCTCATTAATTTTCCATCGAAGTATTTCTATTATCAATGCAGAAGCTGTTTGCTATCATTTTCTGTAAATAAGAAGTAGGTTCCTCTCCTCTGGTTATGAAGAAGACTGCCTTTGCCTGAGGTCACCCTCCCTCCAAAAAAAAAAAAGATAAAAATAATTACCTGATACCTGAATGAGGGATTCCATAATTATACCCTGAAACATGAGAGACTCTTTGAATAATGGGAATACTACAATCCCCTAGTATTGGAGAAAAGTGATTTGATGAAAAGAGTAAAGTATTAGTTTCTGTTTGCACACAGGAATCAGCAGCTGTGGCATTCAGGATTCTTGTTTTTGTATGGTTCTGGGAATCATCTGGTAGCATGTGCTCTAGCACTTTTAGGTAACTAGACTTCTGTTCATTTGCAGAAAAATCTGATAAATTGCACATTTCAAACTCATATTTGCTGGTAGTTCTATCTTTGTTGTCAGCAGGAGAATCAAAATGCAGTTGCCTGCGAGGTCCAGATCTGGGTTCCCGAGGCTTGATATACAGGCTGTTTCTCTGAAGAGGATGCTCTGGACTACTGACTGCTTCATCCTCTTCCTGCATAATCTTAATGATTTTGATAAGTTGGAAGAGACGTTTGCGGTCGTTCATGTCATGGACTCCCAATCTGGAGTAGTCCTTCATTGTAATCTTGGCTAATTCATCTATTTTCTGAAGGCCAAGGGCAGTAAAATGAGGATAATACTGTGCAAGCTCAGCTTCACAAAGACATTCATACAACCAGGATGTCATTTTTGTAAAAGGGTTTCTACAAATTCTGAAGAGGAAAAAAAAAGTCATTCATTTAAAATTCAGTATGTATAATACAATGATTCCTTTAAAAATGAAAGTACAAAACAAATATGCATTCTAGCATACCAGGTTTTCAATAAATAAATGATTAAACACATAGTGCATAAACAAAGATACAAGTAACAGATGTAATTTGTTCATTTGCTTAATAAAAAGAGACTTTCAATTGTAATACATACATAGCTACATGCACACACACTTAACACAAGTCACTTACTTATTTCTAGGGAGTTCCTTCCAACCTTGCAATATCTAGTTAACACATGACACAAACTACTGAAACCTCGCTCCCAACCACTGACTATAGTAAGACTAATTTTAGATGTTCAAGTTAACACCAAGGCATGTTGCACAACTGTTTTCCATGATTAATGAACAAAGGCTAAGAAATCTCAGAATGGGAAGCAAAGTTAAACAGCAAACTACAGAGGGCTATAAACTAATATAACTCAGAGAAAATCTCATTTGAAACTGCTGAGTACTAGTAAAAGTTGTATAAAGAGGTAAAAACATCTTTTTTCAGAATCTGCTGATTCACAATTTCAGATCATTCTAAAAGGTAGGTGGTCACAGATGTCTACATGTACAGAAGCTAGGAAATTAATACTAGGGTCAAGATTTTAAAGTTGCACATTAAAATGCTTAATATGCCAAGACATTTAATTAAATAGTAACAAATCATGTGGTTATAACATATAATCCTGGTCTATTACTAAAGTCAGGACCCTAAGAAGTTCTCCATACCACTATTAAGTTCAAGTTCACAAGAACATTCAAAAGTAAACTATGTTTTCTTTTAAAAATCTGTCTAATAATTCAGGGTTTTCAAAATGCAATTAGTTCATGGTAAAGCCTTTCTGTTTTTCATTTTAACTTATATTTTGTCTTCACTCTAGGGGAAAGAGAGAAAGAGGTCAAGGCCGGGTAATAATGACAAAGGACTCTGCATAATTAACTTTGGAGGAAATGCTACTTAGGCTAAAGAAAAGGCCAAAGGGGCTAAGTAACATATCCTAAACTCATCCTGCCCTTCTCCATTTGTGGTAGATTGAAAAAAAACAAAAACAAGACACACACACACATTCTTTGCAGGTCCCTTCATCAAGAAAAGGAGTCTATTTCTCCTCCTATCGCATCTACGCTGGCCTTGTGACCTGTTTTGGCCAAGAGAATGCGGTAGAAATGACACTTTTTGATTTCTATGCCTAAGCCTCAAGAGCCCTTACAGCTTCTAATGCTTTGGAACTCTTCTGCTACTCAGCCTACAGCCATCACCAAAGCTAGACATCTGAGAGAAGCAATCTGCAACTACTTAGCCCCAGTAGTGCCACCTGATGATTACAGGCACATGAGTGATCCAGGTGAGATCAGGACTATCTAACAGCTCAACCCAAATATCTGATTCACAGAATGGTGAGCAAATAAAACAATAATTGTTTTAAGCCACTAAGTTCTAGCTTACACAGCAGTAGATAACGGCAACAGCACTTCTATATCTTTTTAAATGCGGTATCTCTACCTGAAATGTTCCCAACTCCCTTTGCCTATACAATGAGTTATGTCCCACCTTTCAAGATAGCTCAATAGCTATCCCTTACCCCTATAAAACCTTTCATTTCTCCCCTCTTCTACCATTTTACTACCAAACACCTGAATATAGTAGTTAAACCTGGCCACCAATTCTTCTACTACTGTTTCTTCTATCTGTAATACCCATCATTTCCAGGAAAAACCCTATTTATATTTTTCTTCTGGGAGGTAAGTGCTAGCAAGGGGTAACTAGTATTTCCTGTGTGCTTCAGTAACAATAGCAGCAATAAGTATATTCTGAGCATTAATTATATACCAGGCACTATTCTAAGTACTCTGTTAACCTCCAAACAATCTTATGAAGTAGATAAATGTGTGACCTTTTATCTACTTAATTTACTTAATTTAAGGAAGTTATTTAATTTAACATCTCTGAAACTCATTTTTCTCAACTTCAAATGAGAATGTAATAGTCCCCACAATTCCTAGGGTTAGGTTTCAATGAGAAAATATTTCTAAAACTCTCAGCATAATGCCCAGTACATACTTAGTACCCAATAAGTGTTAGTAGTTATTACTACTGTGATTGTTATTTCTGTGTTACTATCTTCACCACCTCGCCCAGAACCTAGAACAGAATAAGGCTTTAATGTTTTGGTGTTTTTTAAGTTATTTCTAAGCAGTTATATTCCTCCACGTGGCACAGTCTAAGCCAGATGAAAAGGTTAAGTGCTATACAGTCTTCTCAATTTCCACAGGCTGTACAGGATCCTGTATTTCACAAATTCCCTCTGCAACACATCAAACATTTCCTAATCTAATTCTGATAGTCATGGCTTAGTAAGTATCTGAAAGACTAACGTATTCATCTAGCAATGCTTAGATCTCATAATATCATGGGGGCGTGCAGTGCCAGAGATAGCAGCAATCTGGACATGCAGGTTAAAGCAGCCATGTATGTAAGCATGCACGTAAGGCATGCTTCTACATAAATTGGAAGCATGGTGCCTTTCTGAGCTCTACAGTTAACCTATGTTCTTTTGTTTTAAAATCAGATATGCTTCTTTGTTCCACATTACATTTTACAAACGTCCAGCCCCTCAGAGATACCTGAGTCTCATCCCAGAGCCATTAAAAAAAAAAAAAACTCCCAGGTTTTTGGGGTGACAGACATTAAGAACACTGAAAAAGCTTACTGGGTGATTAAGATTGTACTCATTGATCTATATTTAACAAAATTACAAATGCAAATGCACTGAACCAGCAATTCCACTTCTAGGAACTTAGCCTACAGATATTCTGTATAAGTACAAAATGACATAGGTACAAACTTATTCATGGCAGCAAAGAAATAGAATAGAGACTGGTTAAATAAATTATGGTAATCCATTAAATGGAATACTACGAATTACAAAGAATAAGTAAACACTCAATATATAATTAAACAAAAAGAAAGCTCTCCAATATATTAAGTGACTAACGAAGTTACAGAACAGTTTATAAAGGTACCATTTATTAAAAAGAGGTCACAGATCTATAATAAATCTGTATATTTGCTTATCAGTCATAAAATATTTTTGACGGGATGTACAAGAAAGTATTAACTTTGGTCTCTGCGGGGAGGGAACTAGTTGTTGAAGGGCAAGCATGAGAAGGAGACTACTGTATACCAATAAATGCTAGTGGTTACTATTACCTTTCCTATTGTTATTTCTATTTCACTGCTGTCTCCATTGCCCAGAGTAGGACCTAGAACAATTGTTTTTAAACTCTGAAACTATGTGACCATATTACTTAATTAAAAAATACATTTCTAGTTTCATCTGCCCCCCTCCCTTGCAATCTCCCCAAATTTACCTGAAACAACTACTTGTTACTATTTTGGTGTTTTTCCTTACAGCTTTTTAAAATGCATTTTTTTACATTGTATATAAAACTGTACTCATAACTATATCACAATCTACTTTTTATTTAACACAAGCATTTTCATAGGCTGTTCGTTATAGCCCTTAAAAACAATCCACACTATTATGTTTGCTGAATAAATTAATTACCTCAAGGAGATGAAATTTCTTCTTCCAAATTCCTATAGTGTTTTGATTGTAAAACTGATAAGGCATTTATTAGACTCATATATTTTTTATTTTCTGCCAGCCTTCTTCCAGAGATGATGTAGGGTGGCTCTGCCTTATACTATAGTGCAAATTCCTAAAGAGAAGAGCAATATGATCCCACTCAGCCTAGCATTGTCCTAGACAGGTGTGCAACAAGTATTTGTTGAATGAACGGAATCTGCTTAGATAGGACAAAGGACAAAAAGTTCTACCATTTCTACCTTTTACCCAAGGCAACTAAATGATTAGAAGATTTCATGAAGCCTGCTTATGTGGCTATGGAGTTGTTTTCTCTGTTTCCTAATTCTTTACAAGTCCCATCACCCAAAGTAACAAAGACAACCAGGGTCCTTACAACCCAGAATTGCCTAATACACAGGTCTTTACAAACGTCACCCTGAAAACCTCATATAGTTCAAAGACACACTATCTAACAAGGCTAATCTCATTATTTCAGCAAATAGTCCACGGTCATACTATTTTGATGATCTGACAAAACTAAAATTTATTGAATTGAATACATTTATTGAATAGCCTCAAACGAGGGCTATTTCGTTATCCCAAGTAGAGTTTATATATGATAGCAGGCCTAAAGTAATTCTTTCAATTTCCAATTTTCATAGTAAGTAGTTATTTTGGATGGAGTCCAGTGAATTCTTTCAGGGTTTTTTGGTTTTGCTTTTTTTGGGGGGGAAGGGAGTGTTTTTGTTTTCAAATTCATTAACTCATGGGTTTTTATATATTTTATCCATTTCGCATCCATATATCCATTATATATTTTATCAATCAATTGCCTTAGTCTTTGACACCTTCATCTTGTATATATCTTGGCCAAACTAAAATCGGCTTTCCTCCAAGAAACACGTCTCTGTTCTAGAAGTAGCTGCCCAGTGTCTCACATCCAACTAAAGGTTATAT